GTGATGTCTGTACACAGATCACAGACGCTGGTGAACCAGTGCTTCATAGTGTTAGTGATGTCTGTACACAGATCACAGACGCTGGTGAACCAGTGCTTCATAGAGTTAGTGATGTCTGTACACAGATCACTGAAGCTGGTGAACCAGTGCTTCATAGAGTTAGTGATGTCTGTACACAGATCACAGACGCTGGTGAACCAGTGCTTTATAGGGTTAGTGATGTCTGTACACAGATCACTGAAGCTTGTGAACCAGTGCTTTATAGTGTTAGTGATGTCTGTACACAGATCACTGAAGCTTGTGAACCAGTGCTTTATAGGGTTAGTGATGTCTGTACACCGATAACTGAAGCTTGTGAACCAGTGCTTCATAGGTTTAGTGAAGTCTGTACACAGATCACTGAAGCTGGTGAACCAGTGCTTCATACTGTTTGTGATGTCTGTACACAGATCACTGAAGCTGGTGAACCAGTGCTTCATAGTGTTAGTGAAGTCTGTACACAGATCAGACGCTGGTGAACCAGTGCTTCATAGTGTTTGTGATGTCTGTACACAGATCACAGACGCTGGTGAACCAGTGCTTCATAGAGTTAGTGAAGTCTGTACACAGATCACAGACGCTGGTGAACCAGTGCTTCATAGTGTTAGTGATGTCTGTACACAGATCACTGAAGCTGGTGAACCAGTGCTTCATAGTGTTAGTGATGTCTGTACACAGATCACAGACTCTGGTGAACCAGTGCATTATAGTGTTAGTGATGTCTGTACACAGATCACTGAAGCTGGTGAACCAGTGCTTCATAGTGTTAGTGAAGTCTGTACACAGATCACTGAAGCTGGTGAACCAGTGCTTCATAGTGTTAGTGATGTCTGTACACAGATCACTGAAGCTTGTGAACCAGTGCTTCATAGAGTTAGTGATGTCTGTACACAGATCACAGACGCTGGTGAACCAGTGCTTCATAGTGTTAGTGATGTCTGTACACAGATCACAGACGCTGGTGAACCAGTGCTTCATAGAGTTAGTGATGTCTGTACACAGATCACTGAAGCTGGTGAACCAGTGCTTCATAGAGTTAGTGATGTCTGTACACAGATCACAGACGCTGGTGAACCAGTGCTTCATAGTGTTAGTGATGTCTGTACACAGATCACTGAAGCTTGTGAACCAGTGCTTCATAGTGTTAGTGATGTCTGTACACAGATCACTGAAGCTTGTGAACCAGTGCTTCATAGGTTTAGTGATGTCTGTACACAGATCACTGAAGCTTGTGAACCAGTGCTTCATAGGTTTAGTGAAGTCTGTACACAGATCACTGAAGCTGGTGAACCAGTGCTTTATAGTGTTAGTGATGTCTGTACACAGATCACAGACGCTGGTGAACCAGTGCATTATAGGGTTAGTGATGTTTGTACACCGATCACTGAAGCTTTAGTGAACCAGTGCTTCATAGAGTTAGTGATGTCTGTACACAGATCACTGAAGCTGGTGAACCAGTGCTTCATAGTGTTAGTGATGTCTGTACACAGATCACTGAAGCTGGTGAACCAGTGCTTCATAGTGTTAGTGATGTCTGTACACAGATCACTGGAAGCTGGTGAACCAGTGCTTCATATAGTGATGTTAGTGATGTCTTCATACACAGATCTGTACACAGATCACGCTGGTGAACCAGTGCTTCAGTGATGTGTACACAGATCACTGAAGCTGGTGAACCAGTGCTTCATAGTACACAGTTAGTGATGTCTGTACACAGATCACAGAAGCTGGTGAACCAGTGCATTATAGTGTTAGTGATGTCTGTACACAGATCACTGAAGCTGGTGAACCAGTGCTTCATAGTGTTAGTGAAGTCTGTACACAGATCACTGAAGCTGGTGAACCAGTGCTTCATAGTGTTAGTGATGTCTGTACACAGATCACTGAAGCTGGTGAACCAGTGCTTCATAGAGTTAGTGATGTCTGTACACAGATCACTGAAGCTGGTGAACCAGTGCTTCATAGTGTTAGTGATGTCTGTACACAGATCACTGAAGCTGGTGAACCAGTGCTTCATAGGTTTAGTGATGTCTGTACACAGATCACAGACGCTGGTGAACCAGTGCTTCATAGTGTTAGTGATGTCTGTACACAGATCACAGAAGCTGGTGAACCAGTGCATCATAGTGTTAGTGATGTCTGTACACAGATCACTGAAGCTGGTGAACCAGTGCTTCATAGTGTTAGTGAAGTCTGTACACAGATCACTGAAGCTGGTGAACCAGTGCTTCATAGTGTTAGTGAAGTCTGTACACAGATCACTGAAGCTGGTGAACCAGTGCTTCATAGTGTTAGTGATGTCTGTACACAGATCACTGAAGCTTGTGAACCAGTGCTTCATAGAGTTAGTGATGTCTGTACACAGATCACTGAAGCTGGTGAACCAGTGCTTCAACCAGTGTTATAGAGTTAGTGATGTCTGTACACAGATCACAGAAGCTGGTGAACCAGTGCTTTATAGTGTTAGTGATGTCTGTACACAGATCACTGAAGCTGGTGAACCAGTGCTTCATAGTTAGTGATGTCTGTACACAGATCACAGCTGGTGCTGGTGAACCAGTGCTTCATAGTGTTAGTGATGTCTGTACACAGATCACTGAAGCTGGTGAACCAGTGCTTCATAGTGTTAGTGATGTCTGTACACAGATCACTGAAGCTGGTGAACCAGTGCTTCATAGTGTTAGTGATGTCTGTACACAGATCACTGAAGCTGGTGAACCAGTGCTTCATAGAGTTAGTGATGTCTGTACACAGATCACAGACGCTGGTGAACCAGTGCTTCATAGTGTTAGTGATGTCTGTACACAGATCACTGAAGCTTGTGAACCAGTGCTTCATAGAGTTAGTGATGTCTGTACACAGATCACAGACGCTGGTGAACCAGTGCTTCATAGTGTTAGTGATGTCTGTACACAGATCAGACGCTGGTGAACCAGTGCTTCATAGTGTTTGTGATGTCTGTACACAGATCACAGAAGCTGGTGAACCAGTGCTTTATAGGGTTAGTGAAGTCTGTACACAGATCACTGAAGATTGTGAACCAGTGCTTCATAGTGTTAGTGATGTCTGTACACAGATCACTCAGTACATCCACTGAATCAACAAACAATACAACTGATTGGTATGAATGATTTGAATCCAGCAAAACCTACAAGGATTAGGATCTCAATCTGCCCAAACTCTAGAGTCTTATTTTCAGAAACAGTCCATCATCATGTATTAGAATCCTGGCCACTACCTGTGACGAGGAAACTAAACAAGGCCAGGATTACACCAGTTTATCAGTGTCTCCATCTCAGCTTGCATCATGACAATACAAAAATGGTTCTGTTGTACACGAGAGTTTGAGACAATATCGGTGCTGAGAAGCAGAGCACTGAAACTCTCACACATGCATAGCAAGCCGTTAAAGATATGATATCTCTCAAAATGTCAAAAGCCATGAAAGTTGGATGGAAAATACATGACCTTTACAGACTTTGAAAGTATACATTGATCAATGATCATCAAAGAAAAAATAATTAAAGTCTTCTGAATAGTAAGAATTTGTTTTGACTGCAAAGTGAATTTCAGGTTTCTACCCAGTGAGTTGTGTTGGAGTTCTGTCATAGACGTCTGTCACAGCAGGCTTGGAACAAACTAACCAGCTTCAACATGATCCACACCAACTGGCTAGTGACAGGTCAGAATGGGTGTGATAACCCGTCATTGCAGCCATTGTTTCCATCCAATCCCCATCCCACTCACCTCAACAAGCGTGATGGCCAGCATGATATAACCAGGCTTAACCAACACAAATAGTTTGGGCTTTACTTTCAGCTTTTTCAAGTGACATGGAACTTTGAAATATTAGCTGCTGGAACCCCAAACATTGTGAGATATTCTAAGCTCATGTTTATACAGAGAGAATAAACCCTAGAATATTACAGGAGACTGCAGATACATCACACAGAACTACCTGACACATAACTTCCACTAGCACAATACTTACAGCTGACACAGAGGAGGAGCTGGTTTACTGTGCTGTACTGTTGAGTGTGTACAGATACATCACACAGAACTACCTGACACATAACTTCCACTAGCACAATACTTACAGCTGACACAGAGGAGAGCTGGTTTACTGTGCTGTACTGTTGAGTGTGTACAGATACATCACACAGAACTACCTGACACATAACTTCCACTAGCACAATACTTACAGCTGACACAGAGGAGAGCTGGTTTACTGTGCTGTACTGTTGAGTGTGTACAGATACATCACACAGAACTACCTGACACATAACTTCCACTAGCACAATACTTACAGCTGACACAGAGGAGAGCTGGTTTACTGTGCTGTACTGTTGAGTGTGTACAGATACATCACACAGAACTACCTGACACATAACTTCCACTAGCACAATACTTTACAGCTGACACAGAGGGAGCTGGTTTACTGTGCTGTACTGTTGAGTGTGTACAGATACATCACACAGAACTACCTGACACATAACTTCCACTAGCACAATACTTACAGCTGACACAGAGGAGAGCTGGTTTACTGTGCTGTACTGTTGAGTGTGTACAGATACATCACACAGAACTACCTGACACATAACTTCCACTAGCACAATACTTACAGCTGACACAGAGGAGAGCTGGTTTACTGTGCTGTACTGTTGAGTGTGTACAGATACATCACACAGAACTACCTGACACATAACTTCCACTAGCACAATACTTACAGCTGACACAGAGGGGAGCTGGTTTACTGTGCTGTACTGTTGAGTGTGTACAGATACATCACACAGAACTACCTGACACATAACTTCCACTAGCACAATACTTACAGCTGACACAGAGGGGAGCTGGTTTACTGTGCTGTACTGTTGAGTGTGTACAGATACAATATCAAGTCACTGGATGGTGACAACAACTAAAGCATTGCATTACATTACTCCAGGTGTGATCAAACTTACCTTGGTGCACTCTTCCTCAAATTCCCGGAGTTGCAGACACTGCTCGAGCTTATTGAGTCTTGTCTCGGCCATCTTGACTAGTTTCATCATGGTGTCCTGCAGTTGGCGGAACAGGGAGTTGATGGTCTCCATTGCACATCTGCAATTCAACAGGAAGATATAACTCTTTATTACACTTGATATAGCAGGCACATGTCTGGTGGAAGCACCATACACTGGAATTGGTTCATAACTCAATGAAAACTTCAACCACAGTTTAAAAAATCATAAGTGATCCACACCAGAGTATATAATGCTGTCGGATTAGTCTAGCACATAGGAACATCCAAATCACCTTTGAAAGAATGAAGGCATTTTATGAACGCTTCAACTAGGTTTCTGGATTCTAGATTATCAGCAGAATTTTATGTACGCTTCCCTGAATCTTTAAACACTTCAAACAATGATCATCACAAGTGTTCCAAGCTCAAACTGCTTGTGACAAACCTTTGACACATTCATAAACACATCTGTCAATGAATCAAATGATCAGTCTCACTTTCATCACAATGACATCAGCTAGAGTGTAATCCTCATGTTAATCCATAATTTCTATGCTCAGTTGGTTTCAGTTTCCAATCAACAAATCAATACCGAATCATGTGGTCATTTTCAAACTACACGGTCATTTTGATGAACTTGAGGCAGGTATATGCTGAAGTATCCACCAACATTTAATGCCAAAGTTCCCAGCTATGTAGCCCAGTTCTTTATTCATGCTGTCTATCAAAAAACAACCGAGTAAAGCAATTTACAATTAGAATAATCTGCCAAAAGTAGTGTTATAGGTAAGGCAAGGCTCCTTACTTGTAATCATCAGAGTGAGCAGACAGGGACGAGTTGCGCCTGAGTGAGCTCATGGTAGTCTCGCCGTCCTGCTGAAGGACGACCAGTCGGGGGTCATCAAATGCCTGCTTCACCATCTGTTCGTGCTGCTCAATCAACTGACTAGTTGCAAGGGTTGTGCGTGGCAGTTTCTCCAGTGACGAGAGGTCCTGCATTACTTGGACTAGATACTTGGCCACTTCACGGCAATCTGCCAGAAATGGTTCTAATTTCTGAAAGAAAACCATCAATTTGTAAATGTTTTTGGTCAATTTTAATCAAATTTGAAAATGTAAAAAAAAAGATACTTTTATTTGATGACTCAAGACTGTCAATGTAATATTGTGTCATAAAATTCTGGTAAGACAGTATGTTATTCTAATTGGTAAATGACATTGCCTCTGTATTCAAACCATTGATTAAGCTTAGAACCATTATACAAAATAACCAGCCACTTGTGTTAATTTCTTTTCATTATGTACTTGCCTATTTTGGTAATTCTACAAGATACCAGTGTGGTAGAAATGATCATTCCAAACACAACTGTTCTCATAACACAGTGATGACTACACATGGCTATGATTAGTGTTGATTTGATAGCAAGATACTGAACAGAAATCCTGATATACCTAGGATATTTTCAAAAAAGATTTTTATTCTTATCTATAAAACATAGGTGCAGGAAAGATAACACAAATAGCCAAATGGACAAATAAGTGATGTATCGTACCATTCTGAATCGGACCCACTCATCATGGCTGTAGTTAAAATGTCCATCAAGGGCAAATGGAAGCTGGTTAAGGGCAACGAAACGATGAATCAAATCTGGTGACATAATGAGATCAAGCTGAAACAGAAATGTTTACAACACTTTAATCACTTGAACAATTTCAGCAGGTTATGTGACAATCTCAGAGATACAAGTATTTACATGAAGCGGGGAATGAATCTGATGAGAACAGCCACTGAGATCTATTTACAATTACATCCCAAACTTGTACAAACTTGAAACTGTACATAGGAGAGGCATCTATAGACCTGCCATGCTCTCTCTACAAGAGGCAGAGGTTCCATGGTGGTCAGGTATACCACTGACCAGGACTGACTGACTTAGTTTAGTTTTACGCCGCTTTTAGCAATATTCCAGCAATATCACGACGGGGGACACCAGAAATGGGCTGAACACATTGTGCCCATGTGGGGAATCGAACCCGGGTCTTCGGCGTGACGAGCCAATGCTTTAACCACTAGGCTACCCCACCGCCCCCCACTGACCAGGAAGTTGGTTGGGTGGTTTATTGTTTAACGTCGCACTCAGCAATATTCCAGCTATATGGCAGCGGTCAGTTAATAATCGAGTCTAAACAAGACAGTCCAGTGATCAACAGCATGAGAATCAATCTACGCAAATGTGTTAACCAAGTCAGCGATCCCGCTAGTCGCCTCTAACGACAAGTATGGGTTACTAAAGACCAATTCTAACCCGGATCTTCACAGGTAGATCAGGAAATGTCTCCTATAATAATCACTCCTAAACATATACCAGTCTATACAAGGACTGGTACCAAGGACAGGTAGATCAGGAAGTGTCTCCTATAATAATCACTCCTAAACATATACCAGTCTATACAAGGACTGGTACCAAGGACAGGTAGATCAGGAAGTGCCTCCTATAATAATCACTCCTTAACATATACCAGTCTATACAAGGACTGGTACCAAGGACAGGTAGATCAGGAGGTGCCTCCTATAATAATCACTTCTTAACATATACCAGTCTATACAAGGACTGGTACCAAGGACAGGTAGATCAGGAAGTGCCTCCTATAATAATCACTCCTTAACATATACCAGTCTATACAAGGACTGGTACCAAGGACAGGTAGATCAGGAAGTGCCTCCTATAATAATCACTCCTTAACATATACCAGTCTATACAAGGACTGGTACCAAGGACAGGTAGATCAGGAGGTGCCTCCTATAATAATCACTCCTTAACATATACCAGTCTATACAAGGACTGGTACCAAGGACAGGTAGATCAGGAGGTGCCATCTATAATAATCACTCCTCAACATATACCAGTCTATACAAGGACTGGTACCAAGGACAGGTAGATGAGTATGTGTCACCTTTAAGCCGGCATGAGGATCGTAGACGGGGGACTTGAAGACGAGTGACTGTGTGGACTTGTCGGCCATTAGATGGACCATAGCCATGCCATCTGGAATGTTATCCTGAAACACACAAGGTATGCAGTAGATACCCCCATGCCAACAAGTACCTAGTGGGTAGATAGACGGAATGGAATGGAACTGAACGACTTGTGTAAGCATATCACAAACACTTACTTGAAATATGTACAGTGATTCTAGCAGCGTGTTGATTATGGAGGACGTGGAACCCCGGATGTCGGCTACAAGCGTCATGCCATGGCGGACGGCAGCAGGCCTGCAACATGTCTCACTATGTAGACTCCGCACAGGTTGAGGGATCGGGTTAACTGGGTCTCATGAGGTCATCTTGGGTGTACGACTAGGTCAAGTGGGGTGGAGTGTCTGGTGCTAGGCCATGTGGGATGAGGCGCAACATGTCTCACTATGTAGACTCCACACAGGTCGGGGTATCGGGTAAACTGGGTCTCATGAGGTCATCTTGGGTGTACGACTAGGTCAAGTGGGGTGGAATGTCTGGTGCTAGGCCATGTGGGATGAGGTGCAACATGTCTCACTATGTAGACTCCACACAGGTCGGGGTATCGGGTAAACTGGGTCTCATGAGGTCATCTTGGGTGTACGACTAGGTCAAGTGGGGTGGAGTGTCTGGTGCTAGGCCATGTGGGATGAGGTGCAACATGTCTCACTATGTAGACTCCACACAGGTCGGGGTATCGGGTAAACTGGGCCTCATGAGGTCATCTTGGGTGTAAGACTAGGTCAAGTGGGGTGGAGTGTTTGGTGCTAGGCCATGTGGGATGAGGCGTAGGGTGAGGTTAAGTGGAGTAGGGATGGGGTGTAGGGTGTAGGGGGGAAGGGTGAGGTTATGAGGAGGGAGTGAGGTGTGATGTCAGGTGGGTTGGAAATGGGGAGTTGGGGGATGTCAAGGGGTGAGGTTAGGTGAGAGTAGGGATGGGGTGTAGGGTGATGTCAGGTGGGTTGGAAATGGGGAGTTGGGGGATGTCAAGTGAGGTGTGGATGAGGTGTAGGGTGAGGTTAAGTGGAGTAGGGATGGGGTGTAGGGTGATGTCAGGTGGGTTGGAAATGGGGAGTTGGGGGATGTCAAGTGAGTTGTGGATGAAGCGTAGGGTGAGGTTAAGTGGAGTAGGGATGGGGTGTAGGGTGATGTCAGGTGGGTTGGAAATGGGGAGTTGGGGGATGTCAAGTGAGGTGGGGATGAGGCGTAGGGTGAGGTTAAGTGGAGTAGGGATGGGGTGTAGGGTGATGTCAGGTGGGTTGGAAATGGGGAGTAGGGTGATGTCAAGTGAGGTGTGGATGAGGCGTAGGGTGATCGTAAGTGTGGGGTAGGGTTTGGTGTAGCCTGATGTGTGTGGGGTGCAGGGTGTAGGGTGAGGTCACATGTGGCTTGGCATATTGTGAAGTCAAGTGGAGTGGGGTAAGGTCAAGTGAAATGAGGTCAAGGTCAAGTGGAATGGAGTAAGGTCAAGGGTGTAGGTAGATGAGCAAGTTTAAAGTAAATATATGTGTGACTGATGATTATAAGATTGATCTGTAACTGTAGGTACACACACCATTCTGTTGTAGATGAAGAATGTAAATGAAGCTTACATAAAATCCTACATCAGCACATGGAATGAAGCACCTTACAAATACTCTCACATGATGTGGGTCAACAAGAGTGACAAAGATTTTTAACAAATGCCAGTCTTTACTTAGCATTAAGATGTTGGCTCAGTTGTGTTAGAGGGACATGCAGAATGTTTCTGGATATTACTTCATAAATGAATGTTTTCAATTAAAGGTATAATTGAATCAATCCCTATAGCCACTGAGATCAACACTGTGATCACGTTGTGATCTTCACTATCAATGTGACATTAGTGAGAGGACAGGTTAGCTCACCTGGGCACAGAATAGTAGTACATGAGGAGTCTGGCCAGTTCCACACTCAGGACTTGTCTATTATGCCAGATCATGCTCCCAGTAAAGATGAAGACAACAGCGTTACCATTGACATCCCGACTACCTGCAACAAACAGACAAGTGTCACCATTACATGCATGCAACCAGTTAGCACATCTGAAGGTGTTTGTTTTCTAATGCTGCAGTCTGGACCACTCCACCTGCATCACAGCCGCCTGGAAGTCATCCAGTCTGGACCAGACAAGATCCACCATGTGTGTGTACAATGACATGGCATCCATCAGACCACAACTGTAAGGCATGGAGACTGGAGCTTTACTGACTTTGAGGGTGGACTGACTGGCATCAGTGTATAAGGATTCAAGAAATAACATCAAATCCTTGAACATTATTTACTAAAATGACTTTTCATTGTACTAACTTAAGTCTTCAGCAAAGAAGAAATATTCATTTGTAAAATATTCAAGCCTTTAAAAGCTTCCATTTACATCATTATATGTTGACCTATCAGGGGTGAGTGATGAGTGGGCTTAACCCTGCTTGGAACAATGTTCCAGTGACATCAGTGTGTGTCAGCTGGATGTGGGAGGGAGGCTAGATGTTTACCACTTTGGTGCTGACAAACTTAGAAATATAATCAGCATGAACCAGCAGTCAAAGCCCTGAAAGGTTTCTGTTGCAACAAAAGGACGGAAATCTGCATGGCAAAATTGAAGCACCTAAGATGAAAAGTAGGCTATCTGTGACCGCTGAACTAAGTGGAAGAGATTCTTGTAATACGATGTGGCATTATAGGCATCATGGCATCCTCCAAAAAATGTCTGTATTGCAATATAGGATGGCCGACACTACCAGGACAGCCAGACTAAAGGGCACTCACACCACTACGTTCTAAAGTAGTCTGTCTCACAGTCCCTGAACCACATTATTTTCCCTACTGCCTAGCCCTCCCTGCAATGCTAAAGCCCTAAATGAAGCAAGCCTAGATTTCCCCAGGTTATATCTTAACTCATTGGGGCTCCTTTTCAATTTAAATGGGTCTATTTGTTACTATCAAAATTATATATATTCAGGGACCAAGCATTAGGTAGAGGGTAATGTCCGAGTAACTCTCAATTCCTTAAAAATAATGGGGCCGAGGCACATTATTTTTAAGGAATGGAGAGTTACTCGGATATTACCCTACTTAAATTACGTTCGAAGTATTGGGAATATTTCTGTTATCAAAATTAAATGTCAAAATGACAAAATGAAGGTTTTATTTTGAAACTGGTACACATCGCTCCATTCCTGAAAAGTAATGGAGCGAACAGACAATGGAATGACGTCACAAATGTAGTTTAATCTAGGTTCTAAAGCTGAACCTCCACTATACCTGTGAGTGCTGGCATGCCTCAGTGTGAGATCAAGCTGACCTGTAACTAATCTGATAGGCATTTACAGTTGTCAGCACAGAAACACGCAGAAGTATATATCAGCCTTGTTCTCTTGATATATTCCCTTTGGGATTAAACGAAGTTGGCAGAAACTGAAAGATCAAACCACAAAGACAACGCCGTATCCAGTTACTAGAAATGGTTGCTATGCAGATATTTGGGATTCTTTACAGAACAAATAATATTTAAAAAAATTGTATGAATCCACAAGACTGTTGAAATGAATGTGTTTGTTGGTATAATTCTTTGGTATTTGTTAACTTAGGAATATTATTCTGAATCATTTAACTTCATAGAATGAAAACATTTCAGAAATCCTTGTTTGTGGGCTAGATTAGAATGCTCCTCTCAACTATTTCAGCAAACAGCTTTCAAGCATTAGTCCTATCGTCTAACTCAGTTTGATGCATTCTGTTCCCCAGCACTGTCCTTCAGAGAGGAGCTAACTCCTCACTCGGCCCTACCCATCTCCCCCTCCCACCAGTCCATGAGGAGCAACACAACCTCCATCACTCAAGTCAACAAAGATCAGGAAACGTTCCCAACAAAAAGGGAAAGTTCATGTGGCTTTATCGACAACCCAACTTTTGTCTGCAGATGAAAAGAGTTCTTTACAAAGGTATCTCGATTTGTAGTTCAATGATCGGTGTTGTGTAATGATTGCTCAACCCGCAGAGGGGAAGCTGAAACTTTGCCAAACACATTCATCAACACTGCTCCGAATGAAAACAAACGCAGCACGAACCATATGAAACTTGATACACATTCAACAGAAACAGCTTAATCTATGTAATGTCGTCTTATCAGTGTATCATTTGCCACACATAAACTTTTTCAACATCCACTGGATAGATAAACCTCAAGGAATCATTTCTTAACGTATATTTCCTTGTTCAAGTTCCTGTATAAGTAACTATACTATCATTCTAAAAGAGCCAGCGAAATGCTCAGGCTGATGCAACCCAGCTGAAATGCGTGTGTAAATGACCCATGGTACCCATGGTTACCATCCACAACAACAAAGATAAAAACAATTTCCTACAATTCAGTCAGATACTAATTCAGGGTTCCATATCTGTTCAGTTTCTAGGACATGAGCTCCTTGTTATCCAAATTGTCCAAAAGTTTTCAAATTGGTAACAATAAAAAAAGAATGCCATATCAAAATGTGATAAAACTCTGTAAATGTCCAAACTTGTCTATGGAGAAAGAGGCCAATATATGCCAGTTTAGATCTCGTTTGTTTGTACTCAGACACATGTACGGACCATCTACACTAAAGGTAAGACATATACACTTAATACAGAATTGATATACGTTTTATAAGCAGCCATGTCTCCAGACATCATGTCCCCCATCGTCCTCCCTTGTGACTACAATTCCAATACTACTATAGAGTAACTTCTCATCACAATTCTCTAGGGTACATACATCACTACGACTGGGATGCTGCAGACATGGAGTAAATAATACACATTGCATCCCAAAACCTGCAACAACTGTCAGCACCAGGTAAGCTAGTCATCATTACACAACAAGTTTTAGCCCACCCCACAGTATAATTCCTTGCTAATGAGTGCACTGTGTATTTACACCAAACACTATCAATATTCTCATAATGCTTTTCATTTCTTAAAGCCATACTCCATGATATTAACTTTAAATAACTGCCATTTTAATGTTTGCCATTTTAAACATAAAACGGGACTGTTTACCATGCTGTGTGTACACGTTCTCAATTTATTTGAACAAGGGACGTTTGAACTACGTTTCATAATGTTTTAAGTGCTTGTTTGTCCATGCAGTTAAAATTATGGCATTACCTCAACAACTCCAAACACATAAACTCAGGAACACTGGTTGACATTGGTTGGGCACAACGACCAACTCAGTGACTTCCACAAGTATACTTCTGTCCAGCATAACAATATGTCTGTTCATGTACAGCAAACAAGGAGATTCCAAAGGAAGTCATTATTGCAGTTAGAGAGACATGATTAGCCACAATCCTCCATTGCTGGTGACATACTACACTAATTAGATATTCTGTGAAGCATCTTCAAGAGACTGCCACCATGTTACATAAAAGTCTCCATTAGACCATCAAGCCGTAACAGCACATCAGTTTACAGACCAACAGCACTGACTTCAAGACTGGGATCAGTCACAGGCGATATTTCAAGAGTCAAACTAATCAAATAATTTCTACCAAGAGACAAAAGAGAATCTTACCTTTCCCTGCAGAAGAGATTACTGAGAAATGACTGAAGAGGAAGAGATGAAGGAAGAGATGAAGTGAGGCCAGCTCTGACTGCAGGGTGGGTCCTACACTAGAGTGTAATCCCTGCCACCTGATTAACTTAACAAAGCTTTTACAAAGTGCATATTTATAGAAAGGTTTGCAGCTTTTTGCACACATGACAAAAGCCCTTGAGACAGCCCAGGAGTTTGAGCTGGTAATGATACCAGCAAACAACAGCTAAACATTGTTAACACTCAACTATTACAGATTGTTCTACAAGCTCAAAATATTGAGCAATGAATAGGGAGGTTTATTGTTCAGAAGGTGATTATATGTTCAATGAATGGATTAGCCTTGGCCAAGGTGAGATTGGTGTTTGGTGCGAAAATCTCACATGTGAAATAAATGGATGTTAAAAATCATAACAACAACTAAAAGCGGTTAAATATGTTGTTTGTCTGTGTTCAGTTTGTAAATATGCTGCCTCTTGCTACCAAGATACTATATGCAGCCGTGAACAAGGGAGAGAAGAGATGATAAATTTAACAGATACCAGTATGGCATACACAAGGCCAAGCTTGTTTGTTCTAAAAAGATGTTTTTGGTCATTTTTTCAATCAAACTGCTCAACTATAAGACTGATGAACCTGTGTGCCTCACATCGTCCAGTGACTTGCCTTCACAATGTCAAGTCAGCATGTCCCTAATCTTTCTATTTTAGCTTCAAAACCATTATGATCCTACTGCTGGCCGAGGTTAGAAACTATATATCTTGAGTCAAACACTGCTATGTACAGAGCAGCAACAAAAACCCATAAGTAAACATAACAAATGCAACTGGATATTTTGGAGTTCCTACTTTTTATGTCCAGTTGAAGTGTTTTTCCTAAAAAGTACTTTTACGTATAGTGTCATCATCATTTTAATTAGGCCCAGATGACTGTTTCAGGAATTTCTATCAAGATGTATTCTGAATAGTGTACCACATATCATACTGGGCACAGCAGATCATAAAATGCCAGAAACGACTATCGTAAACCTGTAGCATTACATCTCCTTATCTGACATTAGGTAAGGTCACCAGCAAATGGGTAGATAAGATGCACTTGAAAGATACAGCTCATCACTGTGGACTGAGCACGCCATGGACAACTACACATCCCACTGAGGGGTATTCAACATCACAACTGTGGGGACAGCATTTCACACATAACTTAGCGTAGGCTCTTCATGATTTCCTTTGACTGGGGTGTAAAATAGCCATTTGACCAATAAACAAACTAATGTCCTGTCTAGCCCCAGCCACTGCATCCTGACAACAGCAATACCATCCCTATCTGTGCTGTGTATGGTCCGATACCATCCCTATCTGTGCTGTGTATGGTCCGATACCATCCCTATCTGTGCTGTGTATGGTCCGATACC